AGGTGTGCAAGGCCTTAGCAGGCGCAGTACCAGAGAGAGCAGACTCACCAGCACCTAGAGCAGACTCACCAGCACCTAGAGCAGACTCACCAGCACCTAGAGTAGACTCACCAGCACCTAAAGAGCAGCAGCCGCTATACCAGGGTCGGGCGGCACACATAGGTAACAGTCACCTCGAGTACTATTTTTCAAAGCATACATGGCAGTGAGGATAGTGTCATAGTCTAGAGCAAAGATATCCACCTTGTTCCTAAGCAGCTCTAGCCAGCGAGGGAGCTCAGCCTCGTCGCCAAACACTCCACGCCAGGCGTCGCTCAGACAGGCGAAGCAATGAGCCTGTGTATAACCAAGTGTCCCGCAAGTCTGACCAGCCTGATCACCTGTGCGAATGACGTACGGACAGCGGTCAGTACTCCAAGTCCCCCCACTCTGAGCGTACCACTCATGAAGCTGCTGGGGCGTAAGGGTTGGGCGGCGTGATTCGGCCTGGGCGGCGCGAGCAGCAGAGCGCGACGCGCGGGCTGCAGCAGGACGCGACGCGTGGGCAGCAGGGCGCGGCGCGCGGGCTGCAGCAGGGCGCGACGCGCGGGGCAGCAGGGCGCAACGCGCGGGCTGCAGTAGGGCGCGGCGCGCGGGGTAGGAGGGCGCCACGCGCGGGCTGCAGGAGGGCGCGACGCGCGGGCTGCAGCAGGGCGCGACGCACGGGGCAGCAGGGCGCGACGCGCGGGCTGCAGCAGGGCGCGACGTGCAGGGCAGCTGGGCGCGACGCGGTGGCTGTAGCAGGGCGCGACGCACGGGGCAGCAGAGCGCGACACGTGGGCTGCCGCAGGGCGAGACGCGCAGGGCAGCAGGGCGCGACGCGCGGGCTGCAACAGAGCGCGACGCGCGGGGCAGCCGTAGGGCGCGACGCGCAAGGCAGTACGGCGCGACGCGCAAGGCAGCAGGGCACAACGCGCAAGGCAGCAGGGCGCGACGTGCGGGCTGCAACAGGGCGCGAGCTGTAGCAGGACGCGGGGCAGGGCAGGGCGTGCGTGGGGCAGCGCGACGCGGGGCAGGGCAGGGCGTGCGCGGGGCAGCGCGACGCGGGGAAGAGCAGGGCGTACGCAGGGGAGCGCGGCGCAAGGCAGGGCAGGGCGTGGGGTAACGCGGTAACCGCAGTCGGTCACTAGGTACTGGTGGGCCCGAAAAAAAACGTTCCTACGAACCTACTGCTCTGAAACCATGTCATAAACTAAGGGTTCATTCTGGTGTCGACATTTGTGTCTCGATGCCCCTTTTCCCGAGTCGCGTCGAAACATTTTGTCAATCTCGCGTCACAAAAAATGAATGTATCAAAATACTAAGCGACCAGGCGAAATGTAAAGTTTTGCGCATTTGATTGGGTGATGCAAATAACTATACATTCGTTTCTTCAACCGATTGGCTGTTGTCAGAATGTTATGTTTGTCTAGCCTGCAGTGGGGTACTCAATAGTGAGTACAGCCCAACTTAGGGCTTGCTATATGTACTCAACTGCTTGCTAGTGAACCCGCTCTCTTCTTCATTCCTCATTCTTCACATGCTATCAGAGTGTCTACGCTCCTGGCCTGTTTACCCACCTAACTGCTTCCGCTGCTACTCTGTGTGCTACTCTTAGCGGCCCCGTCGCCGCCCTTCTCGGCCCCTCGCGGCCCCTTCGCGGCCCCGTTGCCGCCCTTCCAGGCCCCTCGCGGCCCCTTCGCGGCCCCGTCACCGCCCCTACCGGCCCCGTCGCCGCCCTTCTAGGCCCCTCGAGGCCCCTTCGCGGCCCCGTTGCCGCCCTTCCAGGCCCCTCGCGACCCCTTCGCGGCCCGACGCCGCCCTTCCAGGCCCCTTGCGGCCCCTTCGTGGCCCCGTCGCCGCCCCTAGCGGTCCCGTCGCCGCCCCTAGCGGTCCCGTCGCCGCCCCTAGCGGCCCCGTCGCCGCCCTTCGCCTCCACGTCGCGGCCCTTCGCGGCCCCGTCGCCGCCCTTCGCGGCCCCGTCGCCGCCCCTAGCGGCCCCGTCGCCGCTCTTCGCGGCCCCGTCGCCGCCTCAAGCGGCCCCGTCGCCGCCTCTACCGGCCCCGTCGCCGCCCCTATCGACCCTGTCGCGGCCCTGTCGCGGCCCTGCCCCGGCCCTGCCCCGGCCCTGCCCCGACCCTGTCGCGGCCCTGCCCCGGCCCTGCCCCGACCCTGTCGCGGCCTTGCCCCGGCCCTGCCCCGACCCTGCCCCGGCCCCGCCTCGGCCATGCTCCGTCGCCTGGCGCGGCGCACCGGGGACCCGTGCACCGCCCCCCCCCCCCCCCCCCCCCCCCCCCCCCTCTTTTCCCGTCGCCCGCCGCGGCTCCCTGGGGGGCCGCGCGACCGGGGGGGGGGGGGGGGGGGGGGTGGGGGGGCGAGCGTCGCCCCTTTTGCCGCCTGCTTTCGCGCCCTGGGAGGCCGCGCGTCGCCCCCCCGCCCCTTCCCCCCCCCCGTAACCTCCCTACCCGCCATCCCACCCTGCCCTGTGTTAGGGTTTGGGGGTGGCGAGTAGGGGGTGGCGGGTGTGTGGTCTCCCCTGCTCCTCCTCCTCCTCCTCTGTCTCCCACTGCTGCAGCTGCCGCTGAGGGGGGTGGGTGAGTGGGAGTTGACGGAGTGGTGCTAGGGGGTGGGGTGTGAGTGAACCTAGGGTGCAGCAGGGGGTGTGTGACACGGGGGTGCTGTGGGAGTAGAACTAGGGTTTGAGCAAGGGGTGTGTGTCGAGAGGTGTGGGGCAGCTGGAGGAGGTTGTGTGAAGGTAGCTGTCGTGTCGCCTGCAGCGCCTGTAGTGCGTCGCCCTTGCTTCGGTAGCCAGTGAGCCTGTTGCACCAGTCGCAAGTGGGTCCGTTGCTCCTACCGCTCGTCTATAGCCGCGGAGCCAGTTACTCCAGTAGTCCGTCGCCCTTGCTTCGGTAGCCACTGAGTCAGCCGCTCCTGTGCCCGTGCCTCTGCAGCTTCAGTCGTTGCCTCCCATCTTCTCTCCCTCCACAGTTCCTCCTCCTCCTCACTTGCCCGCTGTGATTAACTCTAGCTTTGCTCCCTATTGTGAACTCCTGCTCTATGCCTGCTTGCTCATTGTGCTGATTACACCCCACTTTGGCTATGGGGGTGTGTCAGGATGTTATGTTTGTCTAGCCTGCAGTGGGTACTCAATAGTGAGTACAGCCCAACTTAGGGCTTGCTATATGTACTCAACTGCTTGCTAGTGAACCCGCTCTCTTCTTCATTCCTCGTTTCTTCACAGCTGTGACACACGAGACTTTTTCCCGCGCGAAATTGTCATTGTGGACTGTCCAGGTGCATTGACATTGGGGACCGCGTACGATTTAAAAAAAAAGGCCGGGTCGAATTGCAATTCGTCAGCGACGTCAACGCATTTCACGCTGACCAATAAAAAATACAGTAACGGTCGCTGAAACGCGACTCGCATTTGAGACACACTAAGTTTATTTTGTTTTTAGGTGTCACAAAGCGATTGAGACACAAATGTCGACACAGGAATGTACCCTAATGAGTAGGAATTATTGCATTGACATCAAACTGAGTACAAGTATAACCCTAATTGGGTTGTACCCCATATAGGCTACCCCACTATAGCCTACACAACATAAGTAGCATTGTAGTTTTACATGGTCTCGTGGAAGTCGACCAAGACTGTCGACTTCCTTGTTCTAGTCGGCATCGACCACTGGCAGCAGCCAAAAGTACCTCCTGCACATCCTATTGTAAAGTCGGCTTTGCCCAAGCGAGGTGGGGCCATTTCCCGTCAACAGGGTGATGGGCGTGAGGGAGAGGAGTTTGGAGGCAACAATGCAAGAGATGTTAATGGTGGTGGTGGTGACAACAATAGTGGTGCTGATGCTGGTGGGAACTAGGGTGATGGTCGTAGCGATGATATTGATGGTGGAAATGTTGATGGTAGTGGTTGTGGTGGTAGCATCGGAAATGCATAGATCATCAAGGAACACAAGGTTCGGAGAGAAGTGGTTGTGCCAAAATCGGCATGGGACAACGAAGTGGGAACTGCGGCATATGACAGGGTGAATGAGCTGTGTCTCTTGACCACCCTACTCAGCATGGCGGAGCAGAGAGGCTCCTGCAGAGCCTCTAATAGAGGTTACCCGCAGAGCCCACCCCATAGGAGGACCTAAAGGCGGTGCGGGCCTGGGTGGGAGAAAAGGCGGACTGGACTTACAACCCCGCTCAGAAGAGGTGCACGAAGGGTAAAAGGTGTGGCCACTACACGCAGGTGGTGTAACGAGATACCAATCGTGTGAGCTGCGCCTCAGCACGGTGCCCCAATGGCTCCGGCATGTGGGTGTGTGACAACTCGCCTCAAGGAAATTATAGGGTGAATATCCTTATAGTTAATCCGTGCTGGAGAAAGGGTGTGCAGGTGGCGAAGCTACGAATCAAGGGCACGGGGAGCGAACCATGTAGAGAGAACACATTGAGGGCAGTGCACATATTTAAACAACCCTTCATAGGAAACCATTAAGCAGGCCCTCCCAAAAAATTCAGGACATTTCTGTTGTTTCCTATTATTTCTTTAGTCTGGATTATGATTCCACATGAAATCATGTTCAGATTCTTTGATCCTTTCCCTTCACATTTATGTGGATCTCTTGAGTCACGTACATTGTGAAATCTCACTTACTGCCAATAAATCACTAAGCAACACACATAAAACATATCTGGAAACAGTAGGTGCACTGCACATAGTACGCATTCTGAAGAAGTATGGGTACTGTACATGTTTCAAGAGCACACATGCAGACACATGTTCTGAGTCGATAAAAAAACAGAAGCCACTCGTTACAAATACCAGCTGACTGTCACAGTTTTCCCCACACGTACACCTGCCACACTCCCCACTCCCAGAGATAGCCCCCTTCCCCCCAAAACTCTGTGGCATACTTCCTGTCTGGAACCGTCCTGTCCTGACTTACCACACACCCACTCGGCAGATTTCACTGGCAGGCAGTCTAGAAAGGGGTTTGGCCAACGAAGTTGCCTGGGGGCGAGTAGTCGCAGACCCACATGCCGGAGCCATCGGGGCACTGAGCAGAGGCGCAGCCGACATGAGTGGTGTCACGCCACACCACCTGCGTGTAGTGCCCACACATCTTGCCGTCCGCACACCCGTCGGGAATGGGGCTGGGGGTCCAGTCCGCCTTCTCCTCCACCCATGACTGCACAGCCCCACGGTCCTCCTGGGGGGTGAGAGCAGCGGGTGACAGCCAGTAGAGGTTCTGCCCGAGCCCCTCTGCTCCGCCGTGCTCCAGAGGGCACCCTTTGGACGCCAGCTCGTTCGCCCACTCCTGTGCCGTTGCTGCCACTCCGTCGTCCCATGCCAGATCCGGCACACCCACTTCCTGCCGTGCCTTGTTGTGCTCCTCCAGAATCCCTGCAATGTCGATGCTGCCGCCATTTCCACCACCCCCGCCGCCATTTCCACCGTCCCCAGCGCCGTTCCCGCCGTCCCCACCGCCATCCCCGCCGTCCCCAGTGCCGTTTCCGCCGTCACCCCCGCCATCCCCGCCGTCCCCAGTGCCGTTTCCGCCGTCACCCCCGCCGTTCCCGCCGTCACCACCGCCATTTCCGCCGTCACCACCGCCATTTCCACCGTCGCCAGAGCCGTTCCCGCCATCCCCAGCACCGTTCCCGCCATCCCCAGCACCGTTCCCGCCATCCCCAGCACCGTTCCCGCCATCCCCAGCACCGTTCCCGCCATCCCCACCATCAGGGCAACCATCTCCATTAGATTCACCGCCGTTGTCACCACCACCGTTGTAATCACCGCCGTTGTCGCCACCACCGTTGTAATCACCGCCGTTGTCACCACCACCGTTGTAATCACCGCCGTTGTCACCACCACCGTTGTAATCACCGCCGTTGTCACCACCACCGTTGTAATCACCGCCGTTGTCACCACCACCGTTGTAATCACCGCCGTTGTCACCACCACCGTTGTAATCACCGCCGTTGTCACCACCACCGTTGTAATCACCGCCGTTGTCACCGCCACCATTGTAATCTCCGCTGTTGTCTCCACCGTTGTAATCACCTCCGTTTTCACCACCATTGTAATCACCGCCGTTGTCACCACCATTGTAATCACCGCCGTTGTAATCACCACCATAATCACCCGCTGCGTTAGTGTGTGCAGATGCCTTCCCCATCATTCCATGATTCGCACCATCATCATGCTGATAGCTGTCGAGGCGATTAGCACCCTGCGCGGAATTGCGCGTGTGGCGCTCGTCGCTGGAGCGGTGATGGATCGCCACGTCTTCGGGGCTGGCTGCGCGGAATGCGTGGTTGTCGGCGAATGCTCCGCCGTTCCCGCCACCGCCATGGAGAGAACCACCGCTTCGACGCTGATACGCTGCTGCATCACGGAGGTCGATGCTTCCAAATCTTTGAGAGCCCTGATTCACGGCGTTACGTGCAGCGCGAGAAGCTCCAGGGGTTGGGGCGTATTGGACGGCGTGACGAGCGGCGTGAGGGGCGTCGGTTGCCACGCGACTGGCAGCAGTGTGCTGACTCCAACTCGGAGTCGCGTGGGAACCAGCAGCGCCGCCTCTGGCAGAATACACGAGGGGCTCTGACACCCTCTGTGCGAACGGCGCAGCCTTGGCGTTAATTCCGTGAGGCGGGTTGGGCCTGTTCGTCTCTGTTGCTGCGGCATTCCACGAGACAGCGTCGCCGGAGTCGCGAACGAGAGCACGTCGCCAGGGATGAGCGGCAGTGCAAGAGCTGATGACGAAAAAGAGAATGAGAGGAACCGCCACCAGCTGTGATTTCACGAGGGTCCCCATAGAGCCGCAATACATGCAGATCAAATCAGCGTGGCGAGTCCGCAGTTCTATCGCACTGAAAGAGTTGGTAGGTGGGTGAGACCAGCTGTTGGGGGTGCTGGAGTGCTGGTTTGTGTTGTCAAACAAACCTGGGCCCTGACTGCTCAATTTGTACAAACTTTGGTCCGACATGCGGCTCGTTCAGCCGACGGGTTACCGTGAAGGGACGGAGGGTTCGTGAGTCGAAGTCAGAATTCTTCGGAAACCTTTCACATGATGCCGACGGGTTACCGTGTCGCGTCGCGTGGTGTGAACGGGAAGGGACGGAGCGTTCGTGAGTCCAAGTCAGAATTCTTTGAAGTCAACGCCAGAGTCTGGTCCGCTTCAAGCTTGGAATAACGGTGAGAAAGTTTCAGACCAATCATGCAGAAGGTGTTACAGCGTTTGTTACTATCGGTAGATGAATATAAGGAATTTTCCCGAATTCCTTATCGGGGTTGACTACTTCGCGTACAACCCGATTTTCGGAGTTCGCACATTCAGCCGATTTCAACGCTGCCGAGGCTCCTCACGTCGCCTTCGGCATTTCCATCGCCAAACCTGCACCCAACCTCGCTTGTCCGAGGTTTCCTCCTAGCTAGGCTAACCTACATTAGTCTGTGCATTCATTGTATTCGCTGAAGAGATTAGAACGAGAATGGGAATGACTATGGAATGAAAGTGATACAAATATGCAACCCTAGAAATGTGTACCCCATATGGGCTACCCCACTAAAGCCTAGACAACATTATAATTTGACACACCCCCATAGGCAAAGTGGGGGAGAACAAGGGGTCACAAGACCAGTCAATCAAAGCAAAGCAAAGCTCAGGGTGGATCACAAAGTCACCACACATTCCGAGCACAAGTTCAAGGCCAGAAGGCCAGTTCACATGCAGGAGCACATATATATATATATATATATATATATATATATATATATATATATATATATATAAAAGAGGCTAAGCAAGCAAGAGCAGGAGTATATATATGTGACAGTACAAGCAAGGTCAAGAAGTGAGCAAGTGAGGCAAGACAGGCACAAGACCAAGTTGAGTACAGAAGCGCTGATGATCACAAGGCGCAAGTGCCTTGGTGAAAACATCAGAAGTGTTGGCCTCAGAGGCCACGTACGCAAGCCGCAACTGACCACGCTGCTGTAGCTCACGAGCAAGGAAGTAGCGAAGAGCAATGTGCTTTGTTCTGTGCTCCAGTCTCTGCTCTCGACACAAGGCCAGCATGGCCTCGTTGTCTACGTACAGGACTGGAGGAGAACGAGGCTGCTCTCCAAGGTCGGTCAACAGGTAGGTGAGCCAGCGAAGCTCCTGTGCAGCCATGGCCCCGGCGTAGATCTCGGCCTCACAACTGGAGCCGAGAACAGAAGACGAGCGAGTAGCCCGCCACGAAACAGAGCCGGAACCAAGGCTGAATGTGTAACCCTGTGACGACCGCTGCGTAGCCTGGTCGTCAGCCCAAGAAGCGTCCGCGTGCCCAGTGAGGACCACTGGACTCCGCCCTCCAAGCACTAGCCCCATGCCCGACGTACTGCACAAGTAGCGCAACACCCTCTTCGCTGCAGCCATGTGCTCTGGTCTGTGTCTCCCAGGAGCAACATAGCGTGCGAAAATGCTAAGAGGGTATGCAAGGTCAGGTCGTGTGCAGGTCATCAGGTACATGAGGCAGCCAACAAGCTCTGGGTACTGGCCACTCGACTCTACGGACTCATCCGAAGGCAGAGCTGAGAGCGAGTGGCGAGTAGGCACAGGAGTGGCCTGAGGCGAGGAGTACGTGAAGCCGAAGCGCTGAAGGACCTGCTGCACCATGTTTGACTGAGTCAAGGTAGTGGTGCGGCGTGCTCTGTCCCGGGTGATCTGCAAGCCAAGGTAGCTGCGCAGTTCACCCAGGTCTGTGCACGTGTGTCTCTTCTGCAGCTCGGACTTCACGTGGGCGAGTCCAGCAGTGTCAGCAGTGGCAAAGACCAAGTCGTCGACGTACACGAGGATCTAGAACGGCGGCAAAGAGGTGTCGGTGCGTAGAAACAGCGACGGGTCAGCAGTAGAGGGAGCAAACCCAAGAGCCGCAAGCGTAGTCCTCAGTGTGTCGTGCCACTCGCGCGGTGCCTGGCGGAGACCATAGACTGGCCGTCGGAGGCTCCACTGGGTGCTAGGAGGGAAAGTCCCAGTGAAGCCAGGTGGACGGCGCAGCCAGATCTCCTCGTGCAGGCTACCCTGCAGGAAAGCAGTGCTGAAGTCAAGAGTGTGAAGCTCGTAGTCACGCTGAGCGGCTATGTGTAGCAGCACCCGAAGAGTGGTCATCTTCGGGGTGGGAGAGAAGGTCTGAAATTAGTCAACTCCCTGCCGCTGACTGAAGCCACGAGCCACGTATCGCGCCTTGAAGACAGGCGGAGAGCCCGGCGGCCGCTTCACCCTGAAGATCCACATGCCACTGACGATGTTCGCCCCAGGTGGGGGAACCGCGTCAACGTAGGTGCCTGTGGACTTCCAGGAAGCCATCTCTGCATCCATAGCTGCCTGCCACTGAGAGGAGTAGGGACCCTCTACGGCCTCCGCGTAAGAGCGCGGAGTCGGGATGTCAAGTGCATCCGGGTCTCCCTCAGGGGTAAGCAGTACGGACACGAGATGAGGTGAAGCAGCAGCCAGACACTGGAACTCCTCCTGCCTGTCCTCAAGGACGTCCGTGCCAAGAGCACACTCACCCCCGACGGACGGAGGACAGACACACGCAGACTCAGCAACGAGACTAGCAGCGTAGTCTAGACGACAGCGAGCAGCAAAGTCGACGAGCTCAGCAACAAGAGCAGACGCAGCAGTGGACTCAAAAGAGGGGTCAGTGACGACAGTAGCAAGGAGACGCGTGACAGTAGGACTGGCAGCACGAAGAGAGTCCGACTCCGGGTCGGCAAGGGCAGGAAGAGAGGACTAAGGGGGAGAAGGCAAAGGGGCACGCAGAGGAGCTGTGGACGGACGCAGAGACATCCGGTGCGTGCCAGGGACAGGAGGAGGACGCTGACGCGAACCGCGACCACTAGCGCGAGCAGCACGAACAGGCGACGCAGGACGAGACGCAGGCTCACGACGCTCAGCAAGACCTCCAGTAGGACCAGTGTAGGGAGAAGGAGCACGCAGTAGGGAGGCCGGCGGTAACTGTGACTGTGACTGGACAGGCGGTGGACACTCTAAGGGAGGAGAAAGACCAAGAACCTGCTGAAGGAGCGGAACAAAGTACGGCCGAGGCCGCGCGGCGACTCTAGACACGACAGGGACAGCACCAGCACCCCCAGTGGCAGCACCATCGCCAACAGCACCTCCAGCTCGAGAACCTCCAGCTGCACCAGCAGCACCCGCAGCAGGACCGTCGCTAGGACTGACAGCAGTAGCCTCAGCGCCAACACCCTCAGCAGGTCCAACTCCAGTCGCACTCGCAGGCCCAGCAGCTCCAGCACTCCCAGGGCTAGCACCTCCGAGACCGGCGGCACCAGCACCCTCAGCAGCCGAAGAAGCACCAGCTCCAGCAGTACGCCTCCAGCGCCGGGCAAACCACTCGCGCAGCTCATGTGGAGAGAGTGGCTCCCGCCGAGACGAAGCACCCGGAGAACCACCAGGCCCAGCACCGCTAGACGCCACTCGAGCAGGTCCAGCGGCCGCGGGCTCCGCACCCCCAAGCTCAGCAGCTCCAGACTCAGTACCCCCAGGCTCACCAGCTCTAGACGCAGCACCCCCAGGCTCAGCAGCTCCCGACGCAGCACCCCCAGGCGAAGGACCCCTAGGCTCAGCACCCCCAGTCGTAGCACCCCCAGGCTCAGTACCCCCAGGCTCAGCACCCCCAGGCTCAGCATCCCCAGAGTCAGCACCCCCAGGCTCAGCACCCGCAGCAGTACCAGAGTCACCAGCAACCTCGACCGGCTCGACCGCGTCTACCTGGGACACACCTGAAGGGGCAGGACCCTGAGGGGGGAGGGGGTCTACCTAGGGGGGACCTGGCACAAGGAAGTGCGGCGGCGGGGGGAGGGAAGGAGTGCGGTAGGGGAAGAGACGGTAGTAGGGGACCGACTCGTCAAACGTGACGTCCTGGGAGGACAGAACACGACGAGAGGAGGGGTGGTAGTACTGCCACCCTGGTGCGTCAGGGGGGGAAGCCAATGAAGAGACAAGGAGCAGCAGGAGGGGACAGCTTGTCCGCAAACAAGTCGCGGACAAACGCCCGAGATCCCCAGACACGGAACGCAGACGCATCGCCTACCTTCCCCGTCCACAGCAGAGCTGGGGAGGTCTCCGGCATGGAGACCCTGGGGTGAAGGTTGATCTGATGCGCCGCGTACCGAACCGCAAACGGCCACAGAAAATGGGGGGCAGCCGCATGCATCATGGACGTACGAGCGACGTCCATGACCATGCCAATGCGGCGCTCAGCAATCCCATTTTGGTGTGGAGAGTCCTGAAGCGTAAAGGTCTGGCGGATGCCTCGCGCACGGTCGTAGGCTCGCCGAGGGTCAGAGGAGAACTCTCCGCCTCGGTCAGAGTGCAGACGCAGAACAGGAAAGTCCGAGCCGAAGCTCCTCCTGAGCTGGAGACGAGCTGCGCGGATCCAGTCGATCAACACCTCAGTGACATCACCCTTGCTGCGCAAGGGGAAGACTGAGGTGTAACGCGAGTAGTCGTCAACCACCAGCAAGAAGTAGCGCTCGTGACCCTGTCCTTGGACGCGGGCCGGGCCCCACACGTCCATGTGAAGCGTCTGCAGCGGGGCCTCTGTCGGGGGAAACTGAGAGGAGTGAGGGGCAGCCCGGAGCCGCCCCTCGACACAGGGAACACAGGAAGGACCAGGCCCTGGAGGAAGGGGAGGGAGGGACCGGGGGAGACCAGAGACAAGGACACGGGAAGCCATGCCTTGGAGACGAGGTAGGGAGGGGTGACCAAGACGGTGGTGCTACAGGAGAGTCTCGTGAGACAGGAGGCGA